GTGTGTGTGTGTGTGTGCGTGTGTGTGTGTGTGTGTGTGTGCGTGCGTGCGTGTGTGTCTATCCCATGATAGAGCCGTAGCTGCTAGCTGTCTGCGAGGCTGCACCACAGCTAGGTGGAGCCAAACATTTTATGTGTGAAGAACTTTGGTACTTGTTCTAATAGTGATTTAGTGACAAGGTGCTGCTGCTGTTAGTCTGGATTTAAGCGAATGCAGGCTGAAGCTGCCAGTGTTTACGACCAACATCAGAGTGCAGCCTGCAGCGGAGCAGCAGCAGAAAGATCATCACGACACTTTAGAGAGTCAGAGGAAGAAAACAAGCAGCGAAGGGGAGGAAGAGGAGGGAAGGAGCAGCTGTGAAACAGATGGAAAATTCAGACTGTGCAGAGTTTTTAAGCCAAATGACCACAGTGCATATCTGCATCTGTTTGTGATTGTTAATGCTCGTAAAACAGTGTGTGTGTGCAAGTTTCCACTATAACAAATGAACTCTGTGAACTCGTGAGAAAGTGTGCGCTCAGTGCGGTTTGGAGCAGAAACTGCTGAGACGGCTAAACGAGGCAGGAAAAGTGAAACACGCTGAATCCTTTCAGCTGCTGAGACATTCGCTCACCGAGGTCACGGCGCCGCGTCCTCTGTTGGTTTGTGGATGCATTTATTCCCCAAGAGCTGGTCTCACAGACGCCACGTTAAAAATCACGACATATCCGACCCCACGTCCGGAAATCCATTCATTGTGGCGGGAATGAACTTTGTATAAGTTGCGGGTCAATCTGCTCCATCGCTGCTGCTGTCTGTGCGGCGCCCATTTATTCCACCTTGTGCCCTGACTCCACCCACTAAACGCTGAGTCGGTTTCTTTGTTTGCTTTGTTACAATGAATGAAAACGCTGCGCCGGTAAGTTTACTGACTGGTTTTATTTATTAAATATTAAATATCACTTCCAGAGTCGAGTGATTTTTGTATTTTTGTCCAGTCTGGATGTTTTTGTTACTTTTCTAATTAGACTTAAATTCAGCTGAACTGAACCTTGTCCCACTTCCTTTTGGGACCAAATGAGTTGTTTTGTGTTGTTTATAATAAATATGTACGCTCGGGCTCGTTAGTCGAAGCTCCTTCTGATTATGAGCCGTCGAGCTGCAGTCAGGCTCGCAGACACAAGAAAGCAACGACGCTGACATTTCGGAGATTTTGATTACAGCATGATAAAGTTCAGCTACTCCACCCTGAAGTAGGTGGTCTCCACCTCACGCAGGACTGCTGCTGATGGCAGCTACCACTCGCACACCAAACAGAACTTTTCAGAAGGACTCGGGCCTGGAGCGAGCAGGAGGCACCGAACGCGTGGGCGGCATATACGACCTACCAGGCATCAGGGCAGCGGTCGGGGGATCGTCCATGAACAGAAGCTACACGAGCGTTGATGGAGACCAGCTGGATTTAATTTAGTCCATCTTTAAACCTTCACCAGCAGATTTCTGGAAGTGAGAGCTGAAGCAGTGTGTGTGAGCTGACGTGGAGTCATCCATCCACCTGCAGCTGCTATGAAGTCCGAGTGGAGCAGACGAGGGAGGAGCAGCTGTTTCATGAGCCTCTGCAGATGTTTCAGCTCCACAGGAGCTCTGTATGTGAAAACAAGACCGGGGAGTCCCTGCTCCAGCCCACCGTGGAAACTGCTTAACCTAACAGCTGGATGAAACAGCACAGCTGGAGGGAGTTCCTGCAGCACAGCTGGATGTTACGTGGCCCCGGCTCTCACACCGCGCTCCCCATCGCTGACAAACATATTAAAACATAAATGACGACGCTATGGTGTCACAGTCTGACCTAGAGACTCATTGTAAAAACATCTGGCTGCACGCTTATGTGGTTATACACACTCTGACCCAGCAGCTGGAGCAAACGAAGCTTCTGCTGCTGGCACCAATATAAGAAACGTGCTTCCTCAGGGACCCTGCAGGACTGAGCATCTCTCTCCTTCATTACTGACAAAAGATAAACATCCATCTTCTTCTGCTTGTCGGGTCGCGGGGCAGCAGCCTCAGCAGAGAAGCCCAGACCTCCCTCTCCCCAGCCACCTCCCCCAGCTTGTCCGGGGGAACACCAAAGTGTTCCCAGGCCAGCCGAGAGATATAATCTCTCCAGCGGGTCCTGGGTCTGGCCCGGGGCCTCCTCCCGGTGGGACATGCCTGGAACACCTCACCCAGGAGATCCCCGAACCACCTCAACTGGTTCCTTTCGATATGGATGAGCAGCGGCTCTACGCTGAGCCCCTCCTCAACATGAGGCCCAGGTGAAGTCAGACACTGTCACCAACAGCATGATCCAGGTCAAAGGACCACAGAGCCTTCCTCTCCGCTCTCAGCTACTGAACTCCAGGTGACTGACGCTCTTCGTTAAATCGCTCATTCTGCCTCGTTTAGTTTCACACCAGAACCAAAACACGGCTCGGCGTCGGCCAGGTCAGCGCACACGCCATCATCATCCTCACCGTCCTCCCAAACCTGCTTCCCTGGATATCCGTCAGCCCTGTGCCTCAACAGGAAGTACAAAGCAACGCTTCACTTCCTTTTATGGCCCGCTGCTGTGGTCACCAACGCTTCTTTGAAAGGTCGAGCTTGTGTTTACTGAGAGCCGCTCTGGCTGGTGTGACCCCGCGACGCCTCACAGGCTACGTCACGCACATTCCTTGGCATGAAGCAGACTGCCCCGCGGCGCTCCAATGATGCTGTCAAATCGTCTTAGTGACGGCCAGAATGATTAGAAACACCGGGTGGAGCGTTTTCACTGGGGGGGCTGGAAAGCAGCGAAGACCCGCCCCATGCCACAAGTACGGCAAAAACCGAGGCCTCGTATTTCCTGCTTAGGATTAGCTCGGACGTGTGTGCGTTTGTGTTCAACACGTCTATACTGCCGGTGTCATGACCCGCTCCTCCTACCTCCTCCTGTGCAGGGTGAGCGAAGGAGTGCATCCTAACCCAAAAGCCTTTCTCCCCTACGCACACAGGACGGTGCTGAAGCTGACAGCCAGTGACGATGCAACAAATCAAAAGATGCTGACTCACACCACCGCCGAACTCCCAAAACAAAACGCGGTAAAGAAACCCTGAAATTATTCCCTGAGCAGGAAGTGTTACGGATCAAAGCTGCCCGACTTTCCCTGAATCCCAAAGAGCAGAAAAGAAAAGCTGCACAAACACTCGGAGACGAGAGGAGACGAACGGGCGGAGGAGGTGAAAGTGGAGAAAGAAGAGAAGCAGATGGTGGCGGATCAGTGACGGAGTGATATATGAGTGAAAGACAGGAAGTAACGGACGACAGGAGGAGCCAAGTGTGCGTCTGTGTGTGCGTCTGTGTGTGCGTGTGTGTGTCTGTGTGTGTGTCTGTCTGTGTGTGTGCGTCTGTGTGTGTGCGTCTGTGTGTGTGCGTCTGTGTGTGTCTGTCTGTGTGTGTGTGCGTCTGTGTGTGTGTGT